AAAAAATAATAATAATATGGATGCTTAGGCATGCAAGCATACATAGAAGCTCTGCCACTGTAATTTATAAAAACCAGGAAATATTAATCCCGCTAAAAATGTATTTCAAGTATTCTGTCTCGTTACTACTATATAAAGAAATTGTCAGAGGAATATATGCACAAAGTGCGAACGATTTTATTTGCTCAGAAACATATCGGAATTCAGGAAATAAGTTGTGTTTCTCAGGAACGGATCTTTCAATATGTAAAAATAGTCGGTGCGAGAGGAAAGGTTTTTTCTTCGTGTGACATTCCGCAGTCATGCACCGAATTTACAAATGTATAACAAATCAAGCGAGTATTCTATCTGTAGATCTTTAGATATATACATTGTAATATATTAATCGAAGAAACAATGATTTATTGAAGATGCACTATTTCAAAACATAAATTAAACTATTTTCCTTCTTTTAAAAAAATGGCGTCTACACGTCCCATGATTCACTTGAACATGTAGTACATGTACTCCTGGTTTGATTTTCTGAAATTCCCATTACATTTTTTTTCTTTTGATTCCCAAAATCAGGTTTTTAGAGTGAAGTTTACTAAATAGCCATAAACATCTGATTTATTTCTGATCAGTTAAAAATTCATAATCTAATTTTTCTGTATATACTCAGGCCCCAAGATCGTTTAGCAATCCTAGACTTTAAAATCAAAGAAGATGGGCGTGTTTGGCGTGTGATCTGCAGGAATCATGAGTACGAAACATTTATAGTTTAAATGTCCACGATTTGGTTGACTGACTACAGCTGGACAGGCGTTACAAAGCTACGCACATAGGAAACTGTTATATTTAGTTTGAAATAACATGTCAAATTGTAATATTTAGGTCCGCTTATCTTAATAATTAAACTTTAACATATATAGTAATGCTTCATATAAATAATAAACACCTACCAAGATAATAAGGGTATAGTTAAATGTAATTACAAGTACATGTGTATATACAAGTATTACTGAGTATGTTGGAAGAATTGCTTTTGCTCTCGATGCACCACAACAGAACCAGCATTTATCCATTTTAAAATAAATCAGTACAAAAAAATTTAAACTGACAAAAGAATTGATTGCTTGCATAATAAAATATTAACGCTCCATGCGAGGATCGAACCAAAATTTTTTCGACTCCATTGCATTGGACGGGTAACGCATATTACTAAGCTATCATCACTACACATTAAACTTGGCTTTTAAAACGACAATGAAGGACCTCATTTACACATTGGAATTTTTTTGGAAAAAGTTCAGTTTTTATGGTCTCTGGGTCTTCTCTCCATTTTTTACAAATGATTGTTTGTTTCTTTGAATTAAAATGCATACAAATATCATTAGAAAATCATGGAGAGATGACCCAGAGATAGCAAATTTTTAGAAAAACGTGTTTAAATATGTGACATTTTGTACCAATTGAATCATCTACCCTATTTTCATATTATTTTCTAGCAAATCAAAATACAATTTCGGAAAAATATTTCCCTTTCCTATTTCACAGGAACCCAAATGATCAAAAGAATGCTAAAATTTCGTGTGATAGATCAATGAAATTCTCACTTGTCAAGTGCGCCCAGATTCCTGCCGAATGCCAATCAAAAGCGCCCTCGTTCTTTCAGTAATTCACAAAACGGATATTTATTACAAACTGACCTATGAAAATTAAAATTCTGAGAGGAAAGTTAGGTGGAGGGGGTAATTTTCTCGATTTAAATTATATATTTTAATACCCTCGCACCTCGCACGACAGAGTACTGTAGATCACTAAATTTTAACGACACATTGTTTCCGCGAAATAATCCACCCTTATAATAAGCGAGACATTTCTTTTTACGAACTGTGGTAATTGCTCTATATAATTTTTAGGAATACTTCTATACGCGAGAATGAAATTTTCGCGAGCACAATGTCTCGCGTAATTACGCGAAAATAAAGTTCTCGCGAATAAAAATTGATTAACATCTATTTCCAAGGTATACAATTTTAAGATTTTATTATTATTTACTTTCTTTACCAGAAAAAGTTTCTTCCTAAGGTAGAAGAGATGATTTATTAACAAAATTTTCAAGGGCAGATTGTTTAATTCCAAAATCTGACACCCCCCCTTTTAAATAATCGTCCCCTTAATAACACGAAAGGGAAAGATACATCTTAAATTCTATGTATGTTTCTATGAATAAAAATTAATACAAGTATACTTATCATACTTTGCAAACTATAAGCGCTAACAACGATTCTAAGCTATGTCTTTAAAATAGGCTATGATATTTATGAAGTCATTATCATTATTCTTTGTGATGTTCTTTCTTTTTTCTTTCTTTTTTTTTTTTTTTTTGGTGACTCTTCAAGTTAATCTATAGTAAAAGTACCAAAAAGGAATCAAAGACCGTTTCATTTATAATTTGCAAAGTCCATTGCAAAGTGTTTTGAATATGCCCTGTACGTATTGTGACGTTTTTGACGTCATCACTGTGAGTTTGACGTCGTCATTGTATCACGGTTGTCTTTCAATATTTGCCAAGATAACGTTACAATTTTTATTACTTGGAGCAAATAAATGCTTAAATAAATACATGATTTATAAACTTAAACACTGAATAGATCAATACTTTTTTATATAAAATACTTTTGATGGGACATATATGACCCCTGTGGCAGCCAGTGGGTAGAGCCCATATATGACCCCTCTGGCAGTAAGAGGGTTAAACATATACCACCACAGTAATTTGATATTTTTACCACGTGCATTGCAATATTTCAGTTTAGTACATATACCTGTAGTAAATTTCTCCAGTGTTATTTCATTGTAAGTCCTTGTGAATAGATTTTAAGAATATATTTACACATGTTTTAATAAGTTTTATTCGGGTGAATATAGTCTATACTCTATCGTCGACACTAGTTGATTAAATGTACTGATATGTACTTAAATGTAAGTGATACTTTGAAAAAAGTGTATATGATGACCATTGAATTTTAACAGGGCGACAATATTTTTTCCGCTAAAATATCTGCAAAATCTTTCGCTAAGTAGTAGTCAACCCTTAATTGAAACAATAAAAAAAAAAACATGGCGACCTATGGTACTTACCGTTTAAGGGTGCAATCAGAGTATCTCTAGAGGTACCATCACCTGCTTGCCAATGTTAACAATTTGTAATGGACTCATATGTATACTGTGGTGCCATTGGTGTACCATTGTTAACATTGGCTGATTATTTAGTGGAAAATGTCAAACCAGGATATGATTATTGCTTCTTGCATCGGCATTTTGCAGCAAGAGAATGCGTTCAGAAATAGTTTTTTTAGTACAATAAAGTACTTAATTATCCCCAATAAAATATTTTCTCCTGCAAAACCATAGGGGCTTGTCTGTCTTCAGGATCGTTAAATGTAAAATAAGTTAATAAAATTTTGAATCTTAAACACACTTAAAAGTTGTTAAAATAAAGATTCTGACATTTTCAGTCAAGAAAAACCAGACATACTACACCTATATACATGTACGCAGAGTTTATGTATATAGGTGTGGTTTGTCCATATGCGCATATGGACGGATTATATAAGAATAGGTGATTTATAAGCAGTTAAAATCCGGGAGCTTTAAAAAGACACCATTTTCAAGGCGGTGTAACCGTGATTTCTGTCGCTAGTACTTAGGGTCGCTCTTCATAGAGCGACTCTGAGCACTAGCGACAGTTTTCACTGGTACAGCGGTACCAAATAGTTAGGAACCGAAGACCTATGAAACCGTTTTATCGTAAAAAGTATGGCGACATGCGAGCGGGAGCCTGCAGAGGGTTTTTCATTCAGAGGAAAGAAACGTCGTTTAGATGAAGAAGTTTTAAAAATATCAATATGCAAACAGCAGTTTAAAAGATGGCGTAATTTCAAAATTAAAGTCAAATGTACACGCGACTCGGAAGGAATACAAATCCTGCTAGACCATTGGTAATTTGACAGAAGATACCACGATGTTATCACAAATGTTTGCAAATGAATGTTTGACTGTCACACTTTATTGATAAGTAAATATGCATACATATGAAGTAGGTACAACTAAACCAGAAGTGAGAACTGATAATATAAATGTACCTAGTAGGCCAGGTTATTAATTCTATATGGTCTGTCATGTTTTTATTTGCAATGTCTGACCACAGGAGTCGGCAGTTTTATCCATAAAACAACGTAAACAACAACCAGTGAGCTCCGCGAGCGAAGCGAGCTACGCTCGCGAAGCTCACTGGTTGTTGTTTACGTTGTTTTATGGATAAAACTGCTGACTCCTGTGGTCTGACCCAAGCATATTATTTTAAATTAAGTGGTTAACAGGTTAATATATCAGTCAATTAATATATCGGGTCTCAATAAGTCTGGTTAGAGCTTTGGCATGGTAGGCCAGTGGCCCTGGGTTTGAGTCCCAGTTGAGACTTGATTTTTCACTACCTGTGACGATTGGGCCAAAAAAAAATAATAGTCTTGCTTCCTGCTACCAGCCTGAAAAAAATAGAGTAGGTAGGTAGGAAAATTATTTTATTTTATATTTTTATTTTATTTTTTTCCGACAGCATTTTTTGAATATGAACTAATACAAGATCAAATTAAATATGTCACAGGTCAGTATTGTCATTTAAAATTAAATTTCATGTCTTTTTATGCACAACTTAAGTGGAATTTTATGAAAGTCCATATTTAAAACAAGAATTTCATGAATGCTTGTTTTGTGTTAACAATGAAACCGATAATGGTGACAGAACGATAAAATTCTGGAAATTTCCGATTTTTTTACTTCCTAAACATGCTTAACTTAAAAAAAAACTTTAGGGTCGGGTAGCAGGAAACAAGACTTTTATTTTTTTTGGCCTTGGCGCCCAGTGTACAAAACCCACTATTCCCTTGGAACATGCTTCATGCATTTCCTTAAGTCATAGAATTCAAGGACGAATTTTTACAAAGGGGGGGAATATGTCACCGGGTTCACAGGTGTGTGAAAGTCGGTCAGTATATCAGGACTCAAAAGCTCAGTGGTTAGAGCACTGGCAAGGTATGCCCTGGGTTCGAGTCCCGGTTGAGACTTGATTTTTTTCTACCTGTGACAGTTAAAAGCATATGAACTAGTAATAGGCAATGTATGACATATTGCACACAATAAGATCTTGAGTCCCACCAAGGAAAATAAGTCCCATCAGTTACTACGTGTACGATATTTCAAAAGTTTTATTTAAAAGCATACCTCTATCTATAGAATGATTATCATTGTTTAACATCTTTAAAGAAATTCATTTTATTTTCTCAGGTATAGGACTTTCCCAGATACCTCATTAGAGACGGAAAATGGTGCAAAGAGAAAAGGGAGGGAAACCAGACCTATGTCTAAAGCAGGAAATGGGTAAAAAAGAAAATATAGATATTTATCTGAGTAGACCATATTCTTAAGTAATGATAGAGCTGAAACTGTTCACCGTGGCATTTTTTCATGTTTTGATACATGGTGCAAAATTTTCTGTTTGTTATTGATTCATGTTTGGCATAAGTAAAATCATGCTACTTAGTATAATTGAATTTTGAAAACATAAATTTTTGAGGAATGATTGTTTGTAAATTAATATTTAGCAGTCAATCAATATCTTTTAGTCAATTTACATGTCGATTAAGTGACTGGATCTAGTGAAACAAAGCAATTAAACAATGTTGGTTTTGTTTCCTTCTATCAAAATTTACTGTATCGAAAATAACCGTACCGAGAAAATATTATACGTATCATATCATGAAGGAGGCGAATCATTCCACCCCTAAAAAAGGAGTGTACATGTGTATATATGTGTACTAGCTAGATTCTGAGAGTCTAAGGGTCAAATTGAAATTTACAGTGTCCAGGAACTTTAAGGTCCTCAAACACAAACTTTTATCTTCTTAATATTATTTAGGACACTGCCTGACACAGAAACACAGAACAGTGAAGATGAAGATTGTGTTACATGTACCAGTAAGTAAATGTACTGTATTAATTATGTTACTATGGTTAACAAGGAACTCTCATAATTACAGTATGAAAGTGATCATTTGACTTACTGTAAACCATCTTTAATTCGCATGCGAGAAATATCCCCGAGTTTCGGGACCTACTTTAACTCGTGAATATTGATCGCCACAAACCATTTATTTTGCTTTGTATTTGTAGAGAATGTTTCCTCAATGATATATTTAGCCAAAGCCTCCTTTGAGATATCTATATAAGACCACAATAATGTCTCTGATTAATTTGTTTTTCAAACAGTAGTAATAATTGCAGAGAGTCTAATGTTTTGAAATATGAAGAAAAAATTGTCAGGGAAAATTATGCTGCTTTGAGTGGTTTGAACAATTACTGATGTATGTATTACAACACAACCATGGTTAAAATTAGAAAATTGTCTATAATGGCTTCTAGTTTACTGCTTGTAGTTCATCTGTAAACTCTGTACATGAGTTTTTTTTGTAAAGTTATATTCTCTCCAGCAGGGTTGTCACCAACAGAACATGTACATAGCATACCATTAAAGATGGAGGGTAAGGATTTAAGGTTCTCTGACCCTCTGATAAGGGAGACAACTCTCAAAGATGTAAAATGTAGAACACCTCCCATTCTTATGCTGTCAGTTGAAAGGAATGAATAGTTTAACCTTTGGTGTATGTTCCTTGCTGGACAATGTTTGTTGAATATAAAAATCTGACTGTATTTTTGTCTTACTTAAGCTCAACCTTTAGACATTTAGGCACTCTGTATGTCAAATGTATATTTGATCTCTTATTCAGTGGAGATTTTTTTTGGTTAAATCTGTTTATGTTTTGTTTGATTGCAAACTTTCTATGAAACTAAAAATCAACAAAAATAAGACAGGGGGGGGGGGGGATAAATAGAAATTTAATAAGATTTTTTTTGCAATATTGGAATAAGAGTCATAAATTTATTTTGTTGAGTCTTAATGAAGGATTACAATCTCTATGTCTATGACTGTGGTATCTTTTACAGTTGATGATGATATTGTAACTGAGGAACCAGAAGACACAGAGATTGAACGAGTACTAAGTCCGAGTGTGATGGTCACAGAAGATAATCTGGTACCTGCATTTCTTATTATAGTTGTTAAAACATAGAGCAGAAGAAAGTGAATGAAGCATTTCTTTGTTTTGCTAAAATATGTAGAATTAGGCCAAACAAAGTTAAATAATAGTTTCTCAGGCCAAAAATTTCAAAATTCAATGCGGCAGACAGGTTCTTCTTTTTTTTTGGAAGCAGGTGTTAAACCTTTTTTTCAAGTCAGTAGTTCAACAAAATGATATCAACTGATTCTTACTTTTTTGTTCTCTTACATTAATTTAATTAATTTATGATATGTATTCAGCTTTTAAATGATGTTATTCCAAACATTTGTTTAAAAGTTAATTCATAAAATAAAGTATTAACAAGAAACGTATCCTTCATCTAATAAAAATGTCTATCTGTGGCTCCATTAACAGTTGAACACATATATTTATGAATTTCTTTTTTTCTAGAACAAAGAAATCAAAAATGAAAAATTATGGACTCAGAAATTCTGTTTTTTGTCAAATTGCAATCAGGTAAGGGATGAATCAATTGTAATTGTTTGAATATGTAATCTGCTAAGAATGCAGGCCCAGAGCAACGGTTTGCAAAAGTGTGTGTGGGGGGGGGGGGGGGGGAAACTTCCCAAAACAATCTGAAAAGCAAAAAAAAGAAGCTAATTTACTGTCCAAATCCTTGAATTTGCCAGAGCTTGACGTTGAAACCTCAAAAAATGTGTGTGTATGGGGGGGGGGGGGGGGGGCTGACCATCATTTAAAGAAAAATTTACTATAATAGCAAAATACTATGCTCAAAAAAAAGAGGGGGCTGCCCCCCCCCCCCCTCGCAGCGTTCAACGAGTCTGGAATGTGTAATTAAAGTTGTCATAAAATCTGGAGAGAAAGTATCTGTAAACCCAAACTTTCTAAAGAACGTTCAAATATATCTTGGGATCTTGGGGGATATTTTAATATCTAAAGTATAAAAAGTTTAAAATCATTGTGACTGTCCAATTAATTCAAATATGTTTTGAAGGTTAGCATCATTGTCATTTCAGCGTGTTGTTCCAAGGCATGCTGAAGTCAAGAAGCTAAATGAAGCTGATCTTGGTAACAAGGTTGTGAATTTTACCATTGACGAAAACCCTGCAACATTCCGAGAATCAATCTTCAGTGCGTGCCCGCAATTGAGGGTAGCAGGTGGATTTGAGTTGTTCCGAAGGAAAAGCACATTTAGTTTAGAGAATATCTCCGAACCCCCTGATGGATTTACCACTTCATATTTGATGGAGAAAAATGAGCTGAATGGAATCATCTGTTATGTTAGGCCACGGAAGAGTATAGCAGTGAAAGCAATCGAGGCTTGTCCAAGGGTGAGCTGCATGTGCTCTTTTGTAAAACTGTCATGATGGATTTAGGTGTTTCAGTCATACGTTTTCTTGATGGTCTTTACAATAATTTTATTTCTAAATGGTTGATCATTTAACTGTTTAAGAGCAAAGGTTGTTTTTAATTCCTGATACAATACAGTATTCATATTATGTTTGGCTGTGTATTCTATTTAGCATCTTTTGCAATGCACAGCTCTGCTAAATCAAGTACATTGCTAAATGTCTTCCATATGTATCTTAAGATCAAGCAGATTTAGGAATATGCTTAATCAAAACTCGAGTATTTTAACTTCAAATCAGTTTACACCAAAAATTGTGCACATTTAAGACAATACATTTACAATGTACTGTATTAATTTTCTTCCAATTCCAGAGAACCCGTAATGACCTTAATTTCGCTCAAAAAATGCAAGTCCTAGACCTGCTGAAACAAGGCAGAACTCAGACAGAAGTTGCAAGACGCATTGGTTGTTCTCAGTCCGTGATTTCCTTTATTGCTTCCAAAAAAAAGGAGATCTGCTCACAGGGGAGTAACTTAAATCCAAGTAGAAAACGCCTACGAGCAGGAAAAGCGGCAGACATGGAGGTTGCCCTGACAAATTGGTTTAAAAGCATTTACACTCCCGGTAAATACATTCCTAATTATATAATAAAGGAGCAGGCCGAGTTGGAGGCTAGGAAGCTTGGAAACTTGACTTTTAATCCTTCCTCTGGGTGGCTCACTAGATGGAAACTACGGCACAATATACCCTCAACAATGGTGAAGGTTAATTAGAACTATACATCATTTCTCTCAGGTTGACATTGGCAAAGACCAAAAAAAAAAAAGACAGAGACAAATATGCGCTCTATAGTAAAATATATAATCATGACAGGCTTAATATGTAAATACAGTTGTGGACTGCATCCCTTTCTTATGTCTCAAAATATCAATCCATTCTTATTTATGTTTGAACAGTATTAAGTAATTATATGTACATATATATTCAAGTTATCATATTTAAGTTATTAAGTAATTATATTCAAGGTATTATTAAGAAAAAGGGATTAAATATTTGTAAATATTTTCATGCATTTGGTATATATGTACAGCTGTATATATGATAAACTTTGCCAAATTATAAACTTTTTTTTTCTTTTTGAATTTTTACCAGAAAAAACGAGGTGAAACTCGGAACAAGTCAACCAATGAGGAAGAAGTTTCTCAACAGGAAGTTGAAGAAGAGGAAGTAGCTCCTGATGATGCTGAAACCGAGGCTGTATCTCAAGATGATGACTCAAGATCTCAGAATGATGACTCGATATCTCAGCGAGATGGGACCTTGTCTCACAGTGAGGACTCTAACTCTCATCACATTGAAGAAAATGGAATGAAGCAGACTGGAGTGACTAAGTTTACTTATTTATATTTTAACTTAAAATGCTTATTAATCTCTAACAAAGTTGGAAGGGATATAGTACAGTGGATTCCATTTTATCTGATAGAGGTTTAACAGATATTTCGGCTATTTCAATATAATACACAAAAACATTTCTTATATATTTATTAAAAATTTCTCCTGATATTCTGATGAGAAAATATTGGAATTTCTTTTTGATAATCAACACCTTGTTCACACCTCTAACTTCGTATATGAAGCCTTTATTTACACAGTCTGACACCTCTCACCTTGAGTACGACAATGAGGGTATTAGTTAAGGCTGAACGCACACAGGCACCTTACCTGTGTTGATACTGGGCACAGTAGTATACAGTTGTGATGATCAGCTTGGGTTTTAATTACTTGTCAGTCATGCACCTGTTAATTATGGCAATTGTTTGCAAATTTTAAATTATTTAACTGATTAGCTTGTGTATGATAATTTGCTTGGACATTGAAATCGTCATAATTAGCCTATTCAATTGTTTAACTTTGTCGTTTGTCTTAATATTTGTTCACTTTTAAGTGCAAATTTTATGATTAAAATCACAAACGGCCCATATAAATAAATATACGTCTCAAAATTCATACCATCCCTCTCCACATGGCTCTTAAAATCTCTCTTTAGCAGACAAGTATGAGACTGGTAAACTCATTGACCAGAGAATTGTCACAAACAGTATGAAATACGTAACCATATTAAAGAAACAAATAAATATGAAACAATTTAATATTTTTGTTTATTTTTCATTTACCATCTATCCAGGGGAAAATAGTTTACGGAAGAAAGTCAAGCATTTAGTCTACTTCCGTTTCCATAATGCAGACCATCCAAGAAGGAATGTAAACATGTGCTGAATAAAGATGGCAATTACCATCAAAGAATAATTTTTATATGCCTGTTTATTTGAAAAATGTTATATTAAAGTTATAAATAAGTGAAACAATTTATTTTAGGAAAGTCACTAAGTAAAGTTATCAAACGAAAACGAATGTGCAAGCTTGAAATTTGCTACGATGTATTATCAATACCTGTAGCTCTAGATACTTATGTTTGGACTCAGTATGGAGCAATCGGCTATTCTAATATTTGGCTATTCTGATAAGATTAGACTGACAACTTGACTATTGGATAAAACGGGATCCACTGTATAAACAAGCTTGTGAGTGTGAAAGTGAGTGGGTGAGTTCATGCGAAAGTTTTGCTCTGCTTTGTGATGCCTTTGTTTTAGCAGAGTTCAGAAAGATCTTATTAAATTGAAAAAAGAATATTTTAAATAATGATACTAATGTCCTTACTACTAGAATGATACATTGTCTTTTCAAACCTTAGTCTAATATTTTATCAATAAATTTCTAAGCCTATTAAACAGATTGTTTGGTGCAGGTTGAAAGAAGCTATTTCAGATTGATGGGGGCCTTAATCCTAGAAGGGAATTGTGCATTTATTAAACTATCTTTCTGGAAAAAAACTTAATTTAGATTATAAATGTCAAATTGTATTTATAAACTTGTTTATTTTGGCATGTAACACAAAATTGGCAAATAATTCTTGACTGTCTGAAGAAGTTCAAGATTCAGTGTGTTCATTTATTATATGCTTTTAGGTAGCAGAGAAAGCAAGTGAGAAATTCAGAAGTGATGGGATTGTGACAAAGGTTTTGCCTGATAAAGGCAAGGAAACCTCCACAACAAGCAATTCAGTGGAAATTCCTGTGTACCCCAGGGTAAGACGGCATTCCATGTATAAAGGTGATAGTTATCTAAGATGTAAAAGGGGTAAAGGTGGTTTTAAAGAATTTGATATTTAAATATCTAAAAGTCAAGCCTAGTTATCTGGGTGCTTGTGTTCACAAGCAAATTGGCCAGATAAATGAAATATCTGGATTGCTAAAATATCCTTGGTGTATTTAAATATAAATTGTTCCCCCCAAATTTCATCCAAAAGGTGAAATGTCTGGGTTATTAGTGTATGGATTGACAAGCCCCAAGGCTCCACTTTTGGAAAAAGTAGAAAGTCTTTTATATTTAGTGTGAAATCACTTGTTAATTTCAATATTTCCACTTACCTGCCTCCTTAACTATTTGCAATTTCCCTCTAGTTCCCCATACAATGTGTCGATATATTTTTTTAGAGTCACTACGGTATTACTCATGAACACGGATTTTACCCCCAAAAATCCAAATTTTCATGGGGTCAAATTTTCCTGCTTTCAGATTTTGAGGGGATTTAATTTTGTGATTGGTAGTCATATACATACTGTACTTCTTTGTAATTTTAAAATTTCGTTGAGGACATGAATTTGTGGGTCTCTTAATATCACAAAATCAAGGAAAATTTAACCCCTTCGAAAATTTATGATTTCAAAGTATATGAAGAATAAATTTGATAGCTAAAATAGTTTTACAAAGATATGAAGACTGTAGATATCTTAAAAAAAAAAGATTGTTGACAAGGTAGGAGCATATAGACAAATTTTCTTGTACTGCGGAATTAGTATTTGTACATTGGGCACCTTGCAATGTTTATGGATTTCTGGGCCACTTTTACCAACAAGTTTACATCCTCACAAGTCATAACATTGTCAGCATATCGTTATAGCAAATCTTTTGTAAGTACAAGTTACTGAGGAAATTATGTCTCCTTGAATCTGTATACTTTTGATTGCACAAGTTTATTGTCCTCCATGAAATAAAATTACTTCACAGTATTTGCCTAGTTTTCTCTGTTGTATCTATATAGCTAACGATATAGCTTTTTAAAATTGTAAATATTTATTTTGAAGTTCATATTATTATCTTTTAACAGACTCATAAACGTAATGACCTGAGCCTGAAAGACGAAATGCGTGTCATAGAACTTCTAGATCAGAAACTCTCACAGACAAAAATCGCCAAACAGTTGGGATGCTCGCAGGCCCTTATCTCCAGAATCGCTAACAGTAAAGATGAAGTCCGAGCACAGTTTCTGACTTCAGAGAATCTGAATCGGAGAAGGAACAGGAAGGGAAGAGCCCCGGACGTCGACAATGCACTGTGGGCTTGGTATCAAAGCCTACTGGATCAGGAACCCGGAAAACAGGTCAGAGGCCAAAGGTTAAAAGTTTTTCATTTGTCACTGTTAATGTCAAAGTGTGTTGGACCAGGAACCCGCAAAACAGATCAAAGGTCAAAGGTTGAAGGTTTTTTTCCTTTGTCATTGTTAATTGACAAAACATTGATGGAATTATTCATTGACTGCTTCAAAATAGCCCATTCAAATTTTGTTAACAATGGATAATTTATGTACATGTATACCTTAATTAGGCCAATTTTTTTTCGCTGTTTACATTTTACCTACACTGTATGATTCATGAACATACCATCCATGAATTCACAAAAATTCAAAAGCCAAAGATCAAAATACACACACAAAAACATCTTTAAATGGATTTGACTCCTTAATTCTATATTTTGTAGCTTTACACATTCTTTTGCAAGGAAGTATATGCTAGATATACATACCTGATTTGACAGATTCTTGAGCAATTTAATATTATAGAAAAGAACTGAAAAGGTTTGAACAAAAAATCAATTTCAGAACAACTAATTTTGTGATTCTTTTCTGAACTTAATTGCCAAAAACCAAGTCGGATTCAAAACAAAAAAGTCCATGGAATGGCCTTACAGTGATTCACATTTTGACACACATTAGGAAGTACTTATTGTTTATAGATTAACTCGCAAATATACCCAAAATATTGATATTTCACATAAAGTACTGTGTACAGGGAAATTTTTGACTCCATTTTATTTTTGCCCCTTAATGCATTAAAAAAAGAGCACATAGTATAAAACAACAGCTTCGTTTAAATACATGTATGTGCTGAACTTGGTGATTCCCACTCAGAGCGGCTCATGTTCAAAGTACATGCAAGTCTTTGTGCCTGCTCATACTATAGGTTTAATTTATGCCAGTTTTTATGATAAAATTAAAGAATATAGACATGTCAATTATTATGAATACAGACAAAGTCAAGATTCGATGTCGTATACTCCTGTCAGCACAAAGATAATGCTTAGATATGGGGATGCACCTTACCAAACTTGCTTGGAATGGTACATATGACCTAGTTCATTTTTAATTAAACACAAGTGTGGATATTTAGAGCAGTTCCATTTCCAAGAAACTATAAGCCCTATCCAGACCAAAGTTGTGTGAATATTGCATTCACGAATACCATGGATATGTCAAACTGATCTGGAAATCCCAACCCTTTATTCTTTAAGTATTTTATCCTTGATATCTAGAGCCCCTGGATATATTGAAGTTTTTTTCTCGGTCCCATCAAGTTCAAGATAACAAGGATTAACCATAGTCAAACCATGTTATATCAATCTCAATGGGACTGAGAAAAAACTTCAAGTTATCCAATGATTTGAGATATCAAAGGTAAAATACTTAAAGAATAAATAGTTGGGACTTCCAAATCACTTTGACATATCCATTGTATTTGAGATATCAGTGTTCGAGATATCGAAGTTTAACTGTGTTTCCATACAGATATCGAACAAGATGTTAAAGGACCAGGCAAGGAAGCTGGCAGATGAATTTGGAATTTCGCCTTTTTCTGCAAGCAAGGGATGGCTTAACAGGTGGAAAAACAGATATAACTTAGTTATTCAGCCTTTCAAGAAGGTAGATACAGTTCATATGGAATAGGCAAGCTTTAATTCTTCTTATTTGGAATGATCAAATATTGAATATTAAGGTCAAGATCTAGTAAATGAAAGGTGCCTTCAGATTTCTCAAATTTGAGGAACAAGTTCTTTCAATGATCCTTTACAAATATAGCTTGGCGAAATTAGGTGTATCGGGGCATAATTTTTAGGTAAACTCAACGAAAAAAGATACTGTTATTTTCAATGAAAAATGAAGGAAGTCAGGTATAAATATGGGATTTTTTTCCTTCTCAGAAAAAGAAAATGTATCAATATTGCCTACAATCTCTCAGAAAACAGTTTTTCATATCTTCTTGACCTTTTCTTTAAAATGATATTAATTTGAATATAGGTATCGGGGTTAATTTTGAAATGATTTCAAATTGAATTCCATGAAAATGTTTCATTTTCTACATAATTCTATAATAGCCATAAAGTACGGGAAAAATTAAGTTTAAATTAATTATGACGTCATAATGGATCTAGCACCAAAAAGACAGTCTAAACTTATTTAGTAGATCTTGACCTTATGCAAACTTTGATCCTTTCATATAAAATAGGCAAACCTTAAACCATTTAAATGGAATAAGCAAGACTTGATCATTTTAAACGGAATAAGCAGGACTTGATGATCCTTTCATATGGAATTAGCAAACCATGATCCTTTCATATGGAATAAGCGTCTTGATCTTTTCATATGGAATCTAAATCAGTGAACAGTTTTAACCATGTTTGCTTCTGTAGAACATCAAGGCCATGTAAATCAAGTTAGGTTACTGTAAATCAGCTATTGTGTGTGTCATCTTTTATTCTTGATTCATCATTTTGAAATCAATCCACGACAATTAATTTTCAGGACAGAGGAACAATCTACAAGTTAAAGATGGTCTTGAAATTTGGGCATATTTCTCACACACAAATAAAAGGGGGTTTACAGTTTGTCATGACCCTTCTTGTGCTAGGTGTGGCACAGTATGGGGAGACTTAGGTTACTCAAGTGAATGTCGTGCCACATAGGCATTTTATTTAACTGCATTATCCTGTTTCTAAATTCTGGATTGTTCTCAAGTTGTATTGGACAGTATAGACTTGGCCAGCAGATTTAAACTTGGTACAGTTTCTTTGTTTAGCAAACCATAAATTATGTCTATAAAGATTCTAACTTTTATTTTGAGTCTTGCTCCTTGCAACTCTCTTATTTGACCTAAAAATAGCTTTTTCAGGGTATAGGGTTCAGCATGAATCATCATTATTTCAATAATGGTTACTTACTGATAGAAAAAATAGCTGTCAACGCAGCTAGGTTAAGGACGCCCATGAAATATACGCCTTTATATATTCAGGGGAAATGAATACAATTTTTAATATTTTTAACAGCAGTGGTTTTGATAAATGTGAATTATGGTCTTTGCATTTGTAAATATCGGGTCTCTGCTGAGTTCAGCCAAAGTGACATCGCTTACATCAGCAGTTTGTCACGTGACAGGTTTAAAATTGGACCATATATGTACTACTACAAAGATTGTAAAAGTTCAACGATATACGAGCATCTCTCCGCTATAAAATTTATTTTATTATCTTTGAGGCAAATTCCTTAACCCGAAAAGTGCTGGGAGCAACTTCCTCATGCTCGAGAATTGTTATAAATTTAGCTGTCTTTCTATAAACTACAGACAAAAATGTAATACGCACTGGAATAATATTAGATTACAAAATAAATAAACAATGCACAGCCAGCTCCCAGCACTTTTCAGAATAGTAGGAATAATAGCTACACGTGTTTAAAAATTCGGAATTTATAGTAAAGCGGATATCGTTGAACTTTTTGATATTTTGGAGGGGCTGGACCTGTCATTCTAGCACGTTACTGAACAAATGTGCTCCCTACGGCTTTATTTAAAGTCTACATATTATCAATTTAGTTTGACAATAAAATGTGGATTAATATATTTCAGAATATGTCTCTCTTTTTGTCCGATTACGCATGCTTCGTATTTATTTTTATTTTTACAAGCTACGATTATCATAAAAGCTTGATCCACGCCTCAAGTACAGAGAAACTGCGTGTCAAACTAAGAAATGACGTCATCTCATTAAGTACAGCGAGATCAAACTGGCTTTCATTCTGCATACGCTAAGTGCTATTATGGCAAGATAAGTTGCACATCCATTTATCTTTATATCATTTATGAGAAACGAAGGTATTTAGCGTGTTTTAAAAAGAACATATTAGTATTTATTCATGGAGATTCATTTGTGTTGTTTTAACGTGACGTCGTAATAGCTTTCCCGAACCTCTGCACAGGCTGACATGTATATGGGAGTCCTTAACCTAGCTATGAATTTTACCTAGTAATAAGTTTGAATCTAAATGGATGAAGGAACAACAAGATGCAAATAATGTAGATGCTCAAATGTCTTCATTAATATGCCTTAATTGCTTAGTAATGGCAGAGCCTGAAAAGAGTTTAAACTTTTTTGGTTAGAAAGAAAGAGCCATTAAACTGTAAGATTGAATGTCCTGTATAGGCAAAAAAATGCTTTGCATTCACTTTCAGCTATTGCCTACAAAATATATACATGTACAATCCCCAAATTAAGCAACGATCTCTGTTTAGCTCCTCTGAGCCAAAGGCTCAAAGAGCTAATGCTATGGCCATTTGTGTGGTGTGCGTTAACTTTTTAGAATATGGGCCGTAACTCAAGAACCCCTTGGCCAATTATTGTAAAATTTGTCACAGGGTATCCTTGGCCCAAGGGCTCCCATTTATACTACATCTAGGGCACTCTCTACCATCGGCTCATACATTCACCTCTGTCCTTGGCTTGCATTTATCACAGTGATAAGCACGAGAAATAGTGCATTTGTTCAAATTCATTATAATTATATTTATTATTAATGTTTTTCTTCTAAGGTAGATATTTACTAAGTATATCTAGAACAATTAGTTTAATTTGAAATAATCCTTGCAATGTCATGTTTTTTACGTTATGTCAAAAATCTTGACGTGAGCCCATCGCAGAGGTGTCTGAGAATGAGATGAACAACAACTCTGCAAGGAAGAATGAAACTAGGGTTGTGACCCTTAAACAACGGGAGATGATTAGGTAAATAAAACCAAAAGTACTGGTTGCTAAAAAATCTTCTCAAGAACCACTGGGCAGATTATCACCAAACTTACACAAAAGAATGAGGATATGTTGTAGATTGAAATTACACGGGGATTTACTCTGGGACAAAGGGCGTTGTCTCAAGGTCACTTCAAAATTGATATTTTGCTTACTATTAGGACTAGCATCATCAAATCTTGTCAGTTGATGCATCTAAGGACCTTATATCATGTTGACTCAAAAGTAGGTCATGGTGACCTACTTTTGAAATTTTGCGACTGTTCTTTTTCAAAATCATTTAGAGCATATTTTGAACTTTGACCTACTTTCTGAATTTTATAGCTAGTCTTTTAAACATTTAAGCCATTAATTCAAACACTGAGAGGTTTAGAATCATTGAGTCTTGTAAGATGATGCATCTTGTGGCCATAAAACATATTATAAAAAAGTAGGTCACAGTGACTTACTTTTTGAACTTTGCAGGCATTCAATTTCAAAAGCGTTTTAGAGGCATATTTTAGACATTTTAAGGCTTATGATCATAAAACTTTGTAAGTTGGTGCATCTTAAGTCCTCAAGAAACGTCAACTGAGAAGTAGGTCATTTTGACCTACTTTTGAAATTTTATGGCTATATTTAAATATTTTGGGTACTATTTGGCTTAGAATCATCAAACTTTGTCAGTTGGTCCATCTTGGGTCCTCGGAGTAAGTTGACAGAAAAGTAGGTCACAGTGACCTACTTTTGAAATTTTATTGCTTTATTTAAATATTTTCTAGGTACTAATTGGGTTAAAATCACCAAACTTTTTCAGTTGATGCATCTTGCGTCCTCAGAGTTAGTGAACTGAAAAGTAGGTCACTTTGACCTATTTTTGAATTTTTATGGCTTTAAGTAAATATATCATTTACTAATTGGCTTAGAATCATCAAACTTTGTCAGTTGATGCATCTTTGGTCCTCAGAATATGTCGACTTAAATGTATGTCACTGACCTACTTTTGGAATTTTATGGCTATATTTAAATATTTCGGGTACTAATTTGCTTAGAGTCATCAAACTTTGTTGGTTGATGCATCTTGGGTACTTGGAGTACGTCGACTAAAAAGTAGGTCACTGTGACCCAATTAAATATTTTTTCAGGTACTAACAGGCTTAGAATCATCAAACTTTTTCAGTTGTTGCATCTTGGGTCCTCAAAGTGTGTCAACTGAAAAGTAGGTCACAGTGACCTACTTCTGAAATTATATGGTTATAATTAAATATTTAGGTATTAATTGGCATAGAATCATCAAACTTTGTCAGTTGTTGCATCTTGGGCCCTCGGAGAACGTCAACTGAAAAGTAGGTCAGCATGACCTTCTTTTGAAATTTGATGGCTTTATATAAATATTTCAGGTACTATTTGGCTTAGAATGATCAAACTTAGTTGATGCATCTTGGGTCCTCAGAGAATGACAAGTGATAAGTTGGTCATCATGGCCTACTCTTAGGTACTAATTGACTTAGAATCATCTTGGGTTCTAAGAGTGTTTTATCTAATATGTAGGTCATGATGACTGACCTTTGGAATTTCAAGGCTTTAACTTAGAGGCTTCAAATAGAAGTGATAGGTTGTACAGTTTATCAGAAGAGCGATTCAAGGCCCTTGGGCCTCTTGTTACATGTTGTTTTTTGTCTGAATTTATTTTTATGAGACAAAAGCCTTGTGTTCATTTGGGAGACATGATTTTAGGGTAGGATATCAAATGTATGATACAGTGCCTACTGTCCAATCCGACAACTGTGCAATCCAGCAAACTGGACTTTCTGACCTCATATATTTTTCCCAAAAAATTCTTTATAATTTTTATAGAATAAAGCATATTCCGACCACTGAACATTCCCAATTCCGGCACTTTTTTGTCAACGAAAGTAGATAATTACATATGATTTCCTCTGGGTAATCTGAAATAATTACATGGGTGTACCGTAATTGACCCCTGGCCAGGTAGCATGAAATTGTCCCCTTTGGTCACAAGATTGGTCTACTTCGAGAGTAGATAATTACTTGCATGAGTTTGAAAGTGTTTATGTAAGCAATAAATGAACAGTTTTTGAATTTATGAATTAGGCAAGCAATTCTCTTTGTTGTTATCAATTTTATTCTCGCATTAACATGATAGCATCCGTGCGACAGAAAATTAAGAGTACATGATATTTCGATCGCCTTTACCTTTCAGAATAAATAAAGAGTCAGAATCATTCATAAAGCCATGTCGCAAAAAAAAACAGTACGGCGAACTACTGTATTATGTACATGTAGACAATACACGATGTTGAAGGCAGCATCTTTTCTTATAGAAAATGTTTTATTTCCATGTTATTATACACTGAATTAAGCAAGACTGTGTACATGAAAGATTTGCCAAAAGCAAAAAATACTGCTTTTAAGTTGCCCATCAAATTTTAAAATATTATGTCTGCTGTTTTATGAAAATTCAACCACAATGTTCAAGAGTAACGTTCCATTTGTATGAAAAGTGATGGTATTAATAGCACAGTCTATGCTGAGAAATAAACAATGGAAAAAAATCGGAAAGAAATGTGTAAAAAAAAAAATAATAATACTATGTAGAGAAGGTAGAGGAAATATTTCCTTTAATATCTACTGTCAGTAAGTAAAATGCTAAAAATTGAATTGCAACATCTCAAAGCATTCAGCACTTCCATCTGTTTTAAAAAATCATCATATATTACAACAATGCTATCACAAACGCTGTTTTTCAAAGAAACTAATCAGCTGAAGGTATATATTTAAAAACAAAGAAACACACAATTATGCAAACACCTTGACAATTAAATACACGTGTACTTTAAACCTAATGAAGTCATCTGACTCCAGTCATAATGCTCAGAAATATTCAACACTGGCTAATCCGACACTCTATGTAATCCGACATTGATTTTATTTCCCGCATCATGTCGGAAAAGACAGGTTTCACTGTTTTTCCAAGTGGTACTTGTATGAAAGTTGAGACAAGACTCTCTGTCAAATTACTGTACCTACCTTGAGAGTAGAATAAATTAAATACAGACCTTGACAGTAAAATCTGATATTAAACAGTACTTTCATTTACAGACAAATGCAAAATCTCATGAGAAAAATAACTCAACACTGGAAAATCTCAATGCAGAGACAGAGAATTCTATAACTGGAGCTGTATCAGGTCTACAATCAGTGGAAGAAGAAGACCAGGATGATGTGTCAAGTAAACTGTGTGGTGAAAACAATAACACAAACAAGCAACATCTGTCTCAGAATGTGGAACACAGTGTTGAGCTTCTTGCTACCCAGCCTGAAAAAGATACCTCAGGATCATCTACCATGAATATTCCTGATTCTGAAATGAATGAGCAAGTTGAAACACATCCTGTTTTAGGAACGTCAGAAAAAGATACAAGTGCAACATCAACCTCAAATATTCCAGGGACAAATTCACATGAGAGAGATGTTAGGGCAACTACACTGGACAAACAGTTGGAGACACAGAAGTTGTTGGCAACAGCATTCTTGCATTCACTTAATATACTTGGACCTCAGACCTCTGCTCAAGGCAGTAGCTCATTTTCTCCACAGCTTAGCGGTTCAGCTCAGGAAATGGTTCAGAACATACTGGAACTATGTCGGGCTCCAGAGCAAAATCCTCCTATTCCAACCAAAAATCAGTTGGAGGAACCTAAGCCTGCAGAAAGTTTTTTGGCTCTGTCAGGGGTAAATACCAGTATGCTATCTCCAAAACAATCAACAATTGTATCAAGTGTTCAAAATTGTGGAGCAAATGAGACAGAAACATGTGATACTGGACTTAGGACTCCTTCACAGACCCACATGTTATCAGATTCAACATCTTTGGATGCGATTACGTCTTCCATTGCACATGAACCATGTTCAGCAATAACTTTCATGCCAGCAGCAGTGTCTGAAATATCATCATCATTCACCAATACTTATTGTATAGATGGAACAATAGGGACAGTATCTTCTACATCTTCAAACGCCCCCAAGAAACAAACCTCAACCACTTATGGTTTTAGTACCACATCAAAGTCCAAATCAAAATTGAAGGGTAAATCTTTGTCAAATGTGCTTGAGGAGCCTGTGACTCCTAGGTATAGTACTCGTAAAAGGACCATGAATGTAATCGTACAGAAACTTGCTGAGGAGGAGAGTGAGTCTGACTTGAATGATGACAGCGATAATGATCCTAACTGGGAGGAAACAGAGAGGAAGAAAAAAGTAAGTGCCTCATGTGCATCTGTTCTGTGTATGAGAGAGAAAGAGAGAGACTCAGAGAGAGATAATCCCCTCGCAAAAAAATACTGTAATACATATACCTTGTATACACAGTTATTTTTGCCTCATTTAATTTTTGCCCTATTAAACTTGTTAACAATTTTGACCCTTATTAAATCACCTATAGCATATATAGGTATTGGTGGTTTTCATTTTGCCCACTTTTAAATTTGTCCACTGAGATGGGGGCAAAAGGGGCAGAAATGCTAATAGACTGGTGACAAAAATTCCTTGCATAGATTATGTACAGATTGTCTCTAAAAATAGCCTAAGATTTTAGTTTTTTTCAGGATTATTACTAAATTTTGGAATAAATAGAATGCGGTGTGTATTTTAAGATATGAGGTGGTATATAAAAAAAATTGTTTGATAAATATTTCTTAATTTTCTTTATACAGTCATCCAGTGGCCACAGAAATCCCAAAAAGGTATGGTTTAGTTTATTACTGAAAAAAGAAAATAAAAAACCATCCTCGTGTCTGCTTAAATTAATGTCAGATAAGAGAAATTTATGGCATTCTGTGTTCCAAAGCTCTCTGACTTTAACTTTTTGCCTAGGACACTGATTTCTCATCAGATTCTGATGACTTAATGGATTCAGAAAAAGATGAGGATGCTTTTGATGAAGATGATGATTATGAAGATGAAGATTCTGCACCTTCAATGGAGAAGCCTCATTCTGATGATTTCAAACGAAAAATAATCTTGTATGCTGAAAGACATGGCAACACCAAAACTGCCATTAGATTTCATATTAAAGAGGAAATGGTTTGGAATTGGAGGGAAGAAAAGGACACATTATTTTCTGTGAAAGGGTCTTCATCAAATGATGTTCTTACATCCAGGTCCCAGGTAAGCAACAACACAGAACAGTAAATTAGGCCCTCTCCTGACTGAGTGGTTAAAAATGGCTGTACCCAAAACATGTTTTAACCTTCAAGAAACATTATTTAGCTCACCTCGACGAAGTCAATATGAGCTTATGCTATACCCCCGGCGTTGGCATTAGCGTCAGCGTCCCGGTTAAAGTTTTTGGAGCAGGTCCATTCCCAAGTAACTATAAGCCCTACCTGGACCAAACTTGCATGGGTAATGCATCTAGGGGTGGACACTACCACACTTGCTTCAGATGCTGATTCTGACCTTCATTTTCCAGATGAGTGAATTTTAGCCATACTTTAGCAAAATGAACATGGATGATGAATCTAGGGATCGACACTTCTAGACTTGCTTTGGATGCTGAATGTGACCTATATTTTCCAGATGAGTGAACAGGATAATTTGTTTTTGGAGAAGCTCTAAAATTATATGTCCTGTTATGACTAAGCTTGTATGGATGATGCTTCTAAGGATTGACACTTCCAATCTTGCTTCAGATGTTGGAACTGACCACATTTTCTTGATTAGAGAACAAAAAAAAAGTTTTTGTAGCAGGCCCATTTCCAATTAATTGTAAGTCCTACTTAAACCAAACTTGCATGAATATTGAATCTTGAGATTACACTAACTAGGAAAAATCAGATGTGAGATTTTCCAAGTACTGAAAGATATCATTCGTTGAGGTGAGCTTCGTAATCTTTGATTACCTATATTTGAATTTTTATGCTAATCTTTTTCAAACATTTAATGTCATGAATTCGAATACTGAGAGGTTTAGAATCATTAAATCCTGTAAGATGAAGCATCTTGGGGCCATAAAACACATTTATTAAAAAGTAGGTCATAGTGACCTACTTTTTGAACTTTGCAGGCATTCGATTTCAAAGCGTTTAGAGGCATATTTTGGATATTTTAAGGCCTATGATCATAAATCTTTGTAAGTTTATGCATGTTGGGTCCTCGAAAAATGTCAACTGAAAAGTAGGTAACCAAAACCTACTTTTGAAATTTTATGGCTATATTTAAATATCTTTGGCACAATTTGGTTTAGAATCATCAAACTGTGTCAGTTGATGTACACATATCTTGGGTCCTCAGAGTAGGTTGACTGAAGAGTAGGTCACAGTGACCTTCTTTTCAATATATGTGACTGTAATTAAATATGTCAGTCACTAATTTGCCTAGAATCATCAAACTTTGTCAGTTGCTGTAGCTTGCTTCTTCGGAGTAAGTTGACTCTAAAGAAGGTCACCGTGACCTACTTTTGAAACTTTATGGCTTTAATTAAATATTTCAGGTACTAATTGGCTTAGAATCATCAATTTTTCTTCAGTTGATGCATCTTGGGTCCTCGGAGTACGACAACTGAAAAGTAGGTCACCGTGACCTACTTTTGAAATTTTATGGCTGTATTTAAATATTTTCATGTTCTATTTGGCTTAGAATCATCAAAGTTTGTCAGCTGTTTTTAGAAAAGTAGTAAAAATATGCAAATGCAATTTATTACTCGGACAAAGTTTCAAACATTTTTAAGTATAATTCAAATTCCATGGTTCCCCATCACTCTGCTCTGCTTAATTCTGTCCAGCATTATTCATAAACTTCATAAATTAGTTATATTAGTCGATGTAAAAATTTCAATTAATAGTTCATTTGACTTTATATTATTTAGAAAAATATCAAAGCCTACGAATCTGTTTTTACCACTCAAACGATGTATATTTTTACAGGGTATTACAGAAGAGGAATATGTCACTGCGGCAGTTGTAGAATACAACAAGCAGAGAATATACTTGGGAGTTATAGAGAAGGACAAGTTGACGTACTGCAAGACTTTTCTCGGAAAACTCGATGAACAATTTAGCATGTCTAATATTAATGCGAATTCATTAATACTAAACAAGAAAGACATACAAAAATTTGGCAAAAATGAAAAACAATTTCTCATTTTGTCCTTTTCATGTCCCATTAAAGACTTAAAACTAAATATTAACCAAGAAAAATGTCAATACATAACTGAAGAAGTTTTGCGTTATTACCAACAGAAAAAGAAAATTTGAAATGAAAATTGTTCACTTTTGATAAATTATATGGAAAGAAGTATAAAATTTATTGCTAATATTTGATGTGGAATCAACCATTGTATCTGTAAGTTGATTTTTTTTCCCATAATTAATTTCTTTTGACCACTTTTTACATTAACCAATTGTTAAACATGGTCTTGTTGAAATATGTGGTATATGCCAAGAATGTTTACATGTGAAATAGAGTTATTAAAACAGAGTTTTTTTATTCTGTTTTTTGAGAAATCTGTGAGGGAAAAACCCGAGGGTATGTTCTTCCTTAACAAGCAATTGTTCAGATTTGCCCTTTTTCAATATGCCCGTCTGTAACAGGACATATAAGGTACAGCGGTCATGTCCGTCATTCTGTCTGTCTGTTAGCTTTTTTGTGTGCAGCTAGTAACTTTAATACTGTTGATGTTATTATAAACATAATGATTATAATTAGTATTTTGATGTTTTACTAGGCAGTGGCATTGTTCATCTTAGACTTTTGTAAACAATAACAATAAACAAAATTGCAGATTGGGTCTTTGTGACATGACAACTTGAATTTTTTTTTTAAATACTGTTTGTTTAGTAACTACAGCTTTTTTTTAAAAATGAAAAAAGAAACTTAAATCTTTATACCAATGTTGATATGAAAACATGTAAACTATCTATTAATGATAAGTGAGCAATATCTGACAGCCGTATCGTTTGCTGTGGCTATGTACTTTATTACTTTTACCTTAAATTTTCTTCAACTAATTATTAAGACCATGATATTAACTTGCATATTAGTTAAACCTTCACAAGTAAATGTTAAGACATACATATAATATTTTTTTTTTAATTTTAGCACGTTTTCAGGTTATTAGGGCCCCGCAAGGATTTGCGGGTGCCCTATAGTAATCACTCTGTCTGTCTGTCCGTCTGTCCATCTGACTGTCCGTCTGTCATTCTTCCGTCCACAAATTTTCTGTTTTTTCTAATAACTTTTTTTAGGGTTGACCAATTAAGTTCAAATTTGGTATGTTGGTTGAATAGGCAGTAAGACATATTTTGATGCTAAGTTTGGTTCTCTATGTCATCCGGTTTTGAGCTGGGGTGGTGGGGTATATTCCTTAACTTTATATAAGAGTGAATGGGCAAAGAGAGATAACTGCTGAGAATGTTCCTATTGTAAACTATGAAAGGCTGCAATGAGTCTCTTGGGATTAATAAACTTTCCTCTGGAAGAAAATCCAAAGCATTTATCTTTATCTGCCACATTGAGATTAATTAACACCTCTGTATGCAAATGAAGTTTGTTTTGAAGTTAAGATCAATTCTGAATAATGTTTACATTCTCTGAAATGTGGATTTAAATAATGTTCATACTTTATTTTGTTAAAATACACAATGAGTTATGATTTTATTGAATTCTAAAAACAAGATATAGGTGAAGATATCGTTTTAATTATTATTTTCTTTTTTCTTTTCTTTTTTTCTGCCTTATGTAAATTCAAGAATACTAATTATTTTAACAGGTATTCAGATAATAACCTCACTCTATCATTGCTGAAAAAGTTCTTATTGTAAACTTAGAAGAAAGGGTTGAGAGAGCAGTATAATTAATCCTGTGGGTTTGATTATCTTGCTGGTTTGCAGAAAATTTTAGAGGGTTATCTTTCTGTCACTTTAAGATTAATTAACACCTTTGTCTGCAACTGATATTTGTTTTGAAGTTAAGGTCAAGCCTAGGTGATATTTGCATTCACTGAAGGCTGGCATTTTAGAAAACACATGCTTCATTCATTTTTAAATATACATTTAATTGAGTTATTATAGATATGATGTTTTTTACTGCCTTATGTAAATACAAGGATACTATTTACAGATTGTTGGATAATTAGCAGTTGCTGTTGCTTATTCTTTATATATTTTGAAATTTTTTGGAATCAAGTAAAATTCTCATCCCCTAATCTGCACCCTTATATTTCTACCCCTTGGCGGGGCCCTTGCTGACTGGTCAGATTTCTAGTTGTTTTTTATAATTACCAGCAACAGTTAAAACATTTGTATGATATTCTTAACAAGCAGTTAGGAATGTTTTTCTAATGTTTTTTTAATTGGTTTCCCTTGATTCTCTAACTACCAGTTGTTTAGAATATTTTTTAACCTTCCAAGACTATGGCATAAACTTGCAGTGGATACCCTTAACAAATAGTTAATAAAATTAAGATGTATATTTTATATGTATTTTATATGTATATTTTAATTTAGATTTCAGCCCATTCATAGCTTCTCTTTTTTTTTTTATAAACTTTCATATGGTATTCTTAATATTAAGTACACTGTAGTTGTAAAGACCTGTTTTTAATTGTATCTTGATTGTCTTTCCTTGGTTCACCAACAACCGATTGTTAAGAATATTTCTTTTCATTTTATATTATAGTCTTAACATTCAGTTGTTAAGACCGATGTTCTTCCCAAATACTCGTAACTGTAATACATATGAACTTAAGAATGAAATTCTTAACAAATAGTTGTTAAGTTTTTCTTTTACGTTTTCTGAGTTTATTTCCCTTGTTATTCTAACAACCAGTTGTTAAGACTTTTTGTAATGGTTAAGGCTTATTCATGATATCTAAGATATTCTTAACAAGCAGTTGTTAGGGTTGAAAACAATTGTTTTATTTTCAACATTGCTTTCTTATTAACAAGCAGTTGTTAAGAAAATATCATGTACCTATTTCTGGTACTTTTTTTTAATATTGATGACTTTTTTCCTAATATTTCCTGGGTTTCCCAACCTTGGTTCTCTAACAACTAGTTGTTAAGAATATTTCCTTAAAACTTGAATGTGCTATACTTAACCAGTTTTGTTAATTGTCAATTTTTAACCTGGTTTTCTTGCAAATTTTAAAAGGATTTCATGGACCTACTTCTAGCATTCTTAACATGCAGTTGTTAAGACCTTTTTTCTGTTTGTTGATTTGTCTTTCCTTGGATTTCTAACAACCAGTTGTTAAAAATATTTTGTGAAATTCTTCTGGTATTCTTAACAAACAGTTGTTAAAATCTGTAAAGAAGTGTAACAGTTTCATTGTATTTTATTTAACAAGCAATTGAAGGAATGCCCTAAGATTATGTTTCGTGTTCTTAACAAACAGTTGTTAAGACTTGTCATATTTTTTAAACTATTATTTGATTTCCTTAACAAGCATTTGTTAAGAATTGGAAAATAAAATGTTTCAGATATGCATAGACTTCAGTTGTCTTTTTGTACTTAACAACTATACAGATATTTTGGTTATATGAAATGGATCAAGTTAAAATGGAAGGTGATTTAGATTGAATTTCGATGCTCTGCACAGTATTTTTTACAATGATCTTTTTTATCTCTTCAAAAAAACATTAGTGGTATTTTCTAAGACATTCTAGCCTTAACTTGCAGCATTTGAAGATATGTTTAAGACAGGATGCATTGCACCAAAAGTTTTGTCATATAAGTCTTATTTTTTTTTTAATTGTGTAAAATTAAACTTTGAGATGTATGTATACCCAGTAGTTCTTATGATCAGTCTAAAAATAAATTCTGTACAATGCCATGCGTTCTTGTACCTTCACGGATATTTAAACGAAAGGTCATTGAGGAGGAACAAATTTAGAAGAAAACTTTGGATACTCAGGTGAGCATTAGGTCTAATGTTCTGTATTAATCCAATTCTTTTGGTGCAAGGCAACATTTGCTGCATCGGTACCAATAAATTTGTAATTTAAACTGCTTACTGTAAATTTATTATTTTTAGCTTGTACAATATTGACGGAAATTTACTTCTGAACCAACTAGCATAAATTTGATTTAGCACATTTCTTACTGTTCTGTACTATATGTACAAGACATTTAGCATTGTAATTGAATTTGCAGAAGCTGCTTTCTGCCAAGGGCATCAAAAAGAATACACAGCCAAATTTAATAACAGAGTTGCTTTACTGCAGTTGGTAACCTGTAAATATCAAGACTTTTAACTTTACACATTTCAATGCATGATAGATGGCACTAAAAAGACAATTAGATTGTCTTTGATATTGCTTATATCATATTATTGCAACCATGTTGTTCCATTTTAAGAAATCAACATTTGAAGGATATTTTTGTCTTAAGTTCTATTGATTTTAGACTGCTTCATATCTTCCAAAACTTTCCTGACTTCTGAACACCTAGAGTAAGAATTTCATAAAGGTGAATATGAACTTGAATCCTCTACCAAATTGTAAATTTATGATATATGTTACCTGGGTCCAGAGTTCCATTCCTAGTAGTAAGAATAATCTGTTTCTTAGGACAAGCCCTCACTGCTCTATAGGACAATATCATTTTCAAGATGGAATGTTCTATCTACATTCCCAGATACTGAAGAGTTAATGTAGCCTTAAAAACATGTAATAGTCATGCATTTGTCAATGCGCATGACCTATTATTTGATGATTTTGACAGCAGTGAAATGTAGACTATACACATCGATAAATTCTGAAAAAAGAACGTTTAATCCTATAACAACTCCAAAAATGACGTCAGAATCTCGAATGTTTAGCATACTGAAAAGTCGCGTTTTTTTCCACATGAGAACATCGAAAAAGTGCTGTCAAAGGCCTCTTTGAAAAGATATTTCAAAGAAAATTTGCATGGAGGTAGAGTAAGAATGGTACAGTAAATCAGTAATTCCATATTTTATTTTTTTGCTTGGTTAATAAGCACGGTAATTTTATCTTAGGCGTTCATAAAATATTTTTATTTATATGATATAGATGGATTTTCGGTCCATTATATAGCTCTCCCCTATATTAAATAAAACATATTCTATATAAAACTGAAGTGTAACAATGCAGTTTTCCATAAATGTATCTTGAGTGTCAGGACTCTTACCGTTTACGAGTAAGACGTACAAAAGTCTTCCCCCGGACTTGTTTCTGTGCGTATTTTTTCATATCATTTCAACTTCGGCGATCCAAAACTCACTACTGCCTTTGACTTTCGACTCAAAAAAAAAATAAATCTGAGTTTCTTTGCTATGTACAATTTTATTTATTTTCCATGATTTAAAATTTTCGAACATATCGAGTTACGGCTGGGTCAGAACTACACCG